TGAAATGCACCTTTTTTCTTCCTTTCTTTTGTCACTTATTTCCTCCATTATTGAGGGGGAACTAAGTTAATATCTTGCTCTAGAAACCAAAACGCTTTTTTTTTTTTTTTTGGTTTTTTAATTTCATCATGAAATTCATATTTGGCAGACCAAAAATATAGGAAATTAAGATTTCTTCTGGATAATTTGTGATATGGATATTGCAAGCAAATTGGGTTGCCTTTGTAGCCTTTGTTTGGGTTCAGACTCATTCCCACTATAGAATTATGTTGTACATGTTGCCAACCAAGATCATCATTGGTTGAGGCGCACTATGACAAAGATGATAATGTAAAATATAGAAAATGGGGGTCCCACAAAATATTCTGAATTAAAGTTAATTGTTATAAAATATTGGTTAAGTATGGCATATTATGGATGGTTTTGTTGGTAAAAAAGTGATCCTTGTAATGATATGCGTGTATGTTGTTCCCCTTTGAAGACTAGAATTCTCCTTGGCTTAATTATTTGTTTTATTAAAATAATAATTGCAATTATGCTTATAATGACATGCACATATAAGTATCATGACTATCATGATGATGATTATCATCTTGTAACATGCTTGAGGAAAATGATGATTTGAAGAGATAGTCAATATTGCTAAGGGAAGGGGATATCAGTTGTGTTTCTTCGCAAAAATGTAATCATATATCACATAAGAAGTTGCATTTTCAACTCTCTACTTAATTGTAAACCCAAAACAATCATCTCAAACCCACTAAACATTGTTGAGAACTAAGCATGAATCAAGGCAAAAAGTGAATTAGTTTGATTAAGTCGAAGACATTTTTATCTATATATTTTGTGTCACGCCATGAACTTAATTACCTTTTCATGTATAAAATCTCTTATTAAACCGAATCTTAATTAGATGATTGGTATCTCACCAAAGTGAAAAATGTTGATAATCTCTCCCACAAGTGGGAAAACAAAAAGGAAAAGGGGTGGTGTCCATGCAATTGGTTGGTCTGATGCTTAATTTTGCCGTTTCCTAGGGCATAGCCCACATCTGCAGGTTAATTTTGATAAAGTTGAAAACGCAATATATTTGTAATCACAATCACAAGCACCTCCTTGGATGGGACATAAAGACATTACGCCACTTTCTTTTATTCCCTTTGAATTTTTTTTTTTTCTTTTGAGAGAGATAACCAATTTTTACTATATTATTACAAGGGGAAAAGGGAGAAAGTCACTGCGACAGCACCACTAACTAAGAACTCTGACAATTAGGCTTGTAATATGGTTTTGTCTTTGAATTTTGTTGGTTAAATATCTATTTTTTTTTTAAACAAAGTGTCAAGGGTGGGATTTGAACTTCGAACCCACCAATGGGAGGAGAGACTGCACCTTCAAGGCTCGAAGGGTCAGGTGCGGTTAGATACCTATTTTGGTTCTTTTACTTTAATAAAAAAAAAATTTAGTTTCTTTACTTAAAAAAATCTTTTTTGTGTCCTTAAAGTTTAAAATTTGACATTTTTTTAGTCTCTTTGTTAAATTTTGCATACGTAACA